TACCTGGTCACCCAATGAGCATGCAGGTATTCAGAGCATCCCACAGGGACTGGCTGCCTCGTTGATGCTCCAGCACCATCACAGAGACACCTGTGTAACTTTGCATTCTCTGCTTCTGAGAATGATTAAGTACCACTGTTAGCAGCAGACCTGACTCCAGTATTTTATGTGGTCATGACTTTAGAGATACATTTTTTTTTTTAGCAAAATTAATTGTTTCACCACAGTGGTACAGACAGGAATGCAGACCGGGGCTCTCTCAGGGGTCTGACACCCTCGTCTGCACCACTGTCCCTACACCCACCTTCATCTCTGCTCACCTAGAGGTAACAGTCCTGGCATTTCAGTGTTTTGAGGGGGGAAAGATAAACGATGGATAAAAGTTTTTGGATACATGGTAAGTCTACCCACTCTCCTCCAATCAAATTTTAAGGTTTATGTTCCTGAAATACACGGTGGTGGGAAAGTTTTCCTTTTCCTTATTTTTTAAAAAGATTTTTATTTAATAACACTTCCATAATTTCCCTTATTAAAAAAAAAAAACTTCTTAATGATCTTGACTGCAGCCTCCACTCCTTCACCAACTATCTTAACTCCCTTTTCCTGTTCCAGCACCCACATTTCTCTCTTTTAATTAATTTTTATCACTACAAGTAATTTGAATTTATTAATCTCACATTCTCATATGCATGAATTTTATGTAAGGGATGCTTGTATTTTTGGAAGAACTATCTCACTCTTTACTCTTAATATCAGGGAAGAAAAAAATTTAATTTGGGGTAAAAGGGAGAAGGGAGAACTACATTTATTGGGCATGTGGTATATACTAGGCCCTGTGCTAGACACTCGACTTATGATGGATTATACTGATTGAATAAAAAATAGGGTGTTGATAGATCAAGTTATATAACTTGTTCAGCAGAATTCACTGCATTAACGTATGAAATATGGACTGTTAGGGATGGAAATAAGCTCTTTGTCTGGACTGGCCATCATAAGGGCACTTAAATAGAATAAATGACCTGTTAGATTGAATTCTACCCATACTCCATTTATTTATTTAGGTTTTATGAAGTGTGGCTATATCATGTGTTGTGTATCATTACATGAGGTCTTCATTTCAGCACTTCAGAATGGACAGAATTCCACTCCCTTCCTGGCCTCCTAAGGTAGAACCCAAGGTCTGACCCGGGTGGAAGGCTTATTATATCTGTTTGAGATACAATAGTCATTCCAGTTTGTAGTTCAAGATATTTTTAGGGGTCACTTCAGATTCTTCTTTATCCACATTTTTCTGAGAAAGTATTAAGTAAATCTACCAGTCAAACAAATCTGACTATTAGAAGATATTTAAAACAGAAAGACACTTGGCAAGGAGAGAACTGCAAATGGGAGCAGCAGCTCCAGATGGATATGCTTGGGGCGGGGCCGGGGGTGTGTGCTCAAAGCTTGAGACCTGTTTGCTGTGGTCTCTGTTGCCGGATGGCTGAGGTGTGTTGTGACCCCCGATGTGGCCAGCTAATCTCCCTGGACTTACTGCTCATACAGGCTTTCTGGTGTTTTGTGCAGCGTGGCGCCCCTTTCCCAGACCTAAAATGCGCACCCGAGGGCAGCCCCAGGCACATCCCATGTTACTTGGTTAGTGTATTCCTGACAAGTGGGGCCAGAGCAACATTCAGACGTTGCTGAATTTGTTAAGCAAGGTGGCTGTTTCTAGGTGCACAGTAAATCCCTTGTGAAGTATAAAACAGCAGCTATTTCCGTGTCTATAGCAATGTCTCGGTTGAGTTCTCTCCTATGGTTTTATTTGAACTTGAGAACCTTATGTAGTAGGTAGAATAGATACTGTCCTCTTCGCCTCTCCTATTTTAAATAATGGTTTTATTGAGATATAATTTACCGTTGGAGCCACTCCACAGAAACAGGATTGACACCTGCCCCCCTCCCCCCAAATTTGCTTTGGATGTTGAGACTGACACCACACACACACACACACACACACACACACCACCCAGGAGGGTGTGAAAGGCTTATTACTCACATAATGAAGTGCTCTGAGGAGAGCAGGGCTGTACCCAAGCACGTCCTAAAGTGGCGTGGCTTGACCGAGCAGGGAAAGGAGACTGGCTTGGGGGATTTTGAGGTGGTTGGGGGGCGGGGCGGGGATGAGGGTTCCTGAGAGTGGTTTGAATTTCCCGCTGGCACTAAGGGAGGGAGCCAGCCTGGCGCTCCTTGTCCTTTGCCCACAGGGGAAGAAGGAGAGGTGAGACTTAAGGGCTGTTAGCAGTAAAACATCAGAAGTGGATTCTGGCTCTTTGTTGTATCCACATACAACAAAATTCACCTTTTCAAAGTGTTCTTTATCCAGCACAGGGAATATAGCCAGTATTTTTTAGCAGCTATTAGTGGAATATAACCTTTAAAAATTGTGAATCACTATGTGGTACACGTGTAACTTATAATATTGTACATAAACTGTACTTCAATAAAAAAAGAAAAAGTGTTCAACCCAGTGGTTTTTAGTATATTCACAGACTATATATTGTGTATAGATAGCATGTATGCTAGAAACACTAATTTCTGAACATTTTCATTACCCCTAAAAGAAATTCCGTACCCACTAGCAGTCCTCCTGCGTTCCCTGGTAGCCACAAAGCTACTCTCTATCTCTATAGATTCGCCTGATTCTGGACGTTTTACTTAACTAGAATCGTATAATGTGACGTCTTTTGTAACTGTCTTCTTTCACTCTGCGTGACATTTTCCAGCTTCATACAACATCGTACCGTGCACTTGGACTTCATTCCTTTTTTTGGCCGAGTAATATTCCACTGTGTGGTCGTACTATGGTAGTTATAGTAAAAGATGACTGACTTGGAACATCTGAGGGTGAGGTGATGATGGGAGAGCCAGGTATCATTATTAGCAGGAGAGGAAGACATGGGCTTGGATCTCAAAGGGAGTTAAGGGCAGACATCCAGTCTTGGATGTTGTATAAATTAGAGGTGACATTTCAAGATGTGAGAGTAAACGTGATCTCCAAATTGAAATATGTACTCTGTAGGTAGCTGAAATGGTTGCCAATAGATACCATCCATCTATTCATGTCCTCTGATGGAATTCATGGTAATTATCATTTTAGACTAATCCAAGATCATTATGATGCAGAAGAATCAGTGAAACCAAACACACATTTTGAATGATTCATTTTTGTCATGCTTCTATTAGCATGAAACTCACTTTTTGGCCTTGTTGAATCCTTTGCTCTAAACGTTTTCTGTTTTTCTTGCCCACTCATTTTGTTGGTTGGAAAATGATTAATATTTAAAATTGATACAAGTTGCTCAAATGCTTAAGGAAACATTTCTTTTTCCTCTGAATGACTGTTAGGAAATTGTTTCATTCTCTTCCATTGTTTTAAGTATTAACTTAGGGGGTTTTTTTTTGTTTTTTTTTTTTAGTAAATCAAATAGAATATACCAGCAGCTTCAAATTTGCTTGGTTATCATTTATGATCCTTTGTAAAGTTCAAACATAATCTTTTATATATTGAGCAGTATTTGCTGGCTTCTATACCCAGGTTGTCTAAAATAAGTAATAATAGTAAATTAAGTTTAAATTTCTAGGTATCATCTTTATATTGAATTAACTATTACTTTTTTTTTTTTTTTGTGGTACGCGGGCCTCTCACTGTTGTGGCCTCTCCCTTTGCGGAGCACAGGCTCCGGACGCGCAGGCTCAGTGGCCTTGGCTCACGGGCCCAGCCACTCTGCGGCATGTGGGATCTTCCCAGACCGGGGCACGAACCCGTGTCCCCTGCATCGGCAGGCGGACTCTCAACCACTGCGCCACCAGGGAAGCCCGACTATTACTTTTTAAATTGTTCCCCTTATAGTACAGAAGTTAGGTTAGTTGGTGAATCTTCTGAAATCTCAAGACAGACAATTTTTAACCCAGGTGTTTAGTCTTTTATAATCTATAGGATTCAGTTTCTGTGTAGATAGGTTTCCATGTTATTTATCTGCCAGCACTGGGATGTCACATGAAGACTTAGATCTTATGATATCAGGGCTTGGGTGTAATCTTGAATACTGTAGCTCTTTTTTAAACAGAATTACCATTCTGAAGCTGATTGCTTTTGACCATATATAGTTATTCTGGTTTTGTTTGCTTGCTTTTTGCATGTGGCCGGTATCTCTACTCCTTTGATCTCTATAGCTGTTTGATACACTGCATAAAAATTCAGGAGATAGACGAAGCCTAGACTTTTGCTTATCTATTGGGCCTAATAGGTAAACTAACCATAGAAAGCAGAAATTTTAGAATTAGGTGACTGCATGGTATTCTCTAAAGATTTGCTTTCACTACATCACACAGGTTTCTGTTACCAACCTGCAGGTACTCAATTATTATAATTCACTCTAACTTTGAAATCTGTAGATAGAAAATGAAAACAATCTGTTGCCTTGTGAAGTAAGGAAGAATATCAGAACAGATTTTAAAAGAGCAGTAACTCTTTTCTAGATGCATGTTGTAGGTGGGAGGGGTTTCCCCTGTGTGTTCATTGTGGTCTTTTTACATAATTCGCTTTTCATTTTCTAGAAGGAAAGTGGCAAGAGTCAACTTGGTATTATATCAATGACGAGCTTTCCTATCAGCCATCCCCAAAGATATATACAAGGTAGTGTAGTGTTACTGAGTTCAGTCTGCAGTGGAAGGACCTGGATTACTTATGCACCAAAAATAATAACCTTGTTCCCTGTGGGACTTCAGTGTGCATTTACCATTGCATACCAGGGAGCTGCTTCAGAAGGTGCCAGGTAATCCTGTATCCATCTTCTCATTTGCATCTTTCGGTACCAGGCATAGGAGAATTCTTCCAAGCAGTGCAAACTTGCTAGCCCCCACTCTAGCAGAGAGTGGAAATGGGCAGAAGTCAAGATTGACACAGCAATTTCATGTTCCCTTGTGGTTTGCTGTCAGCAAGCTGTTACCCACACACGCAAAAGGTTGTTTGAAGTGGGCTTACACATGTTTCCATAGCAGCAGTCATCTTAGTGATTCCTCTCGTTTTCGGACTTTTTTTTTCTTTTGCTTCCCTATTCCTCGCGGATGCAGGATTAAACAAACAGCATATTTAGGTCAAGGAAAGAGATGTTTGCTAATATAGATGCTAGGCTAAGCATTCTGGGAGAGAGGTTTCTTGCAGCAGATGAACATTCTTTGTGCCTTCCAGCAGCGTCTGCAGCAGGGTGGCTGTCTGGCACCGTCTTTTTCATTTTGGGCAGGTTCTGAGATTCAGAACAATCCCAAGCAAATCCCAGGAGCCGGCAGTTTTCCAGTAACCACATGTAAATCTGCTTATTTGTTTGTGGTACTAACAGTGAAGCAATCTATTGGAAAAACAATACTTTAAAGGTTTTGGTGCATCTGAAGGTGTGTCATCTTGTTCTTGCACCACCCCTCCTGTTTTACACTTGGAGCTTGGATTTTTTTGTCAGGCTGCTGGGCAGAAGCGGAATCTAGTACAACAGCTCGGAGCTTCCCTTCTGTTCTGGTGTCGGCAACTGCCTGTCACGAAGATGGTGCAGTGGGAGCCTGCTCTGAAGAGCCAAGGAAGATGATGTGGAAATGGAGTAGAGATTGCTAGAGACCTGAACATCCACACCTTGGGGATGGGTTGCACTACTAGTGTGATTCTGTTTAAAGGCATCCGCACCGTTTTTGAAAGAAACTGTGCTTATATGTGCAAACAGCAAGGAGAGAATAATGCCCTTGAATACACAGCATACAATTGGACAAAAGAAGATTCAGAACTATTGATCTCCTCCTGTCTGGTAAATGCTGTCTCTTAATTAACAAGTAGTTTGCTGGTGTTAGGATAAACTAGTCTTTACCTGTAAAGCAAATATATTTATCTCAGTGTGCTTATATATATGTAGCTTGTGTGTATGAATGGGTAATTAGTGGCCTTAGAATTAAATTATGAAGTGCCTGTTTGTATGTGTGAGAATGTCATGTGTTAATCAAACCTGAAATACATACAGAGAGAGCAGCTGGAGTAAGATATTTGGTTACAGACCAGTTTTCTAAGTTAGCTGTGTGAGCTTACATGTTCTTAGTATAGTTCTAGAAATAATACTGGGCAAAGCCTGTATTTAAGGTCTAATAGAGTGAACCCTCTCCCTATGATGGTGAATTACTCAGTCCCCTTACATCTTAGCCTTTTACCTGGCTAGCTTTTCCTTACTAATGGCTTGTGGTTAGTCCTTTGAGTCGGGGAGAAATGTAAAGGGAACATGAAAGAAAATTGTAATGTAATGGGTGTGAGAAAAATATTTGCAGTTTTATTATTTTAAATCCAGCTATTTATAATTTTGTGGGTGAAGGCTCTTGAGAGTAAAAGGAAGCTTAGCTGACGCCTCTGTGTTCTTTCCTCCTTTCCCAATGCACAAGGAGGTGTCAAGTCACAGATGGGTGTGCCTCTCCATGGCCTTCTCACAAATACCAGGCTCATGAGAAAGCTGCATATTGGTCTCCTCCTCCCTCAGGATGCCTTGCCATTTTTCCTTGTTCTTCTCACAGTTTGTGTCAAAACGAGTGGGGAATAATACACGTGGGAGTTTCTGTGTGTGGGGCTGGCCAGCAGGATCTCGGTATGGCGAGGGCAGGGTGTGCGGAAACCCCACAACCGTTCCTGGTCGTTAGGCTGCCATCTGAGACTGAGAGGCTGGCGTGCCATATGCACCTCCGGATCGTACCAGGTCGCCCCAGCCTTGCAGAAGCCCCTAGAGAGGATGTGTTTTGTGGAGAGGCTTATGTGATGTTAGCTCTCAAAATCCTTGGGAGGAAAGAAAAGGAGAGTATCACATGAGCATCAGATGCATTTTGGAAGGCAGTGAGTGTTATGTGTGGGTATGGAATTTAAGTGGTGCTGTTTTAACTACTAAATATTTTAAACCCTAAAGTATTTTGGGATATGCTTTTGAGAATAGCTGGTTTCAGAGATTAGAAGGACTGGCTCATTACAGTGTCTGTCCCAGGAGTGTAATCCATAACCCTGACGGCCGTAGGACTGCTTGGCCCGTGATGCCAGCGCCTCTCCCATGCCACCAGCTTCTGCTCCCTCAGGCCACACTGACTTTTGTTTGGTTCACCTGCCTTTGGGAGACTCTGCATGGTTTTCTTTTTCTTTTATTGTGTGAAGGAATTCTAACCTGCCAGGGCCTTTGTTGGTACTCTGGGACTGGATTCTGAAGCACAGGTCCTGTGCCTTTGGTCAGATGCTCTCTGCCACCACCCTCACCCACACCAGCAGACCCTGGAGCACAACAGGACCGTGTGTGCATGTGGCCGAGGTGCTGTGGGTGGAAAGATGCACCCTCTCACTCCAAACTGGTCTCCCTGCCCCTCTCCTTGGCCCTATGCCTTCTTCTCTACGTGGCAGACAGTGGTCCTTTGGAGAGGAAAGTCAGACCGTCCTTCTTCTGCTCAGTCAGATCCAGAATCCTTACGGGGGCTTCCAGGTCCATCCCCAGCCTGCCCACCAGACCCTGTTTCCTCCTTGTCACCCTGTTTCCTCCTCATTCTCCTCATTCCTCTCTCACTGGCCTCTTCTCCTGGGATCTCTACCCAGACGTTTACCTGGTCCACCCCCAGCCTCCTGCAGGGCTTTGCTTAGATCTCCCCATGGCAGCAAGGCTTCCTTGACCACCGGTGTAATCCTGCTGCACCCCCAGCGCACCCTTCTCTGGGTCCCCGCTATAGTTTCTTCATAATATTGATCTCAGCTGACATACAGTTAGGCAAGAATAATAGCGTAAGTGTAGTAATAGTAATTAGTGCTGTTACTTATGGTACTTAACACAGGAATAAGATTTATGATGGCAGGGATTTTTGTCTGTTTTACTTACCGCTCTGCCCTCAACAGCCTGAACAATGCCTGATTCCTAGTAAGTGCTTGGCTAATAAGTGATCTCTGATGAAATGGCTTTATGGTCCTGAACTTGAACTTGGAGAAGCTGTTGAGAAGATAGGTTATCTTCTAAAACCAGTCTTTCTTGGAGCTACCCTAAGAAGTTATGTGGTCCAAGGCTGGCCATTCCATGGGTTTGCTATGATCCTTGAGTGACAATTGATTTGATAATACTGTCTTTGGATATTGTCCACACTAGCTCTGTTGAGACCTGTTCCGTGGCGTGGGCATTTGAGGACCTTCTCATCCTTTGGTTTGATCCAGCCAAACCCTTTATTAAGGGAGCCCTGCCCATCGGCCCTCCCTTGGGCCTGCTCCATGCAAAGTAGGTTGACCTCATCAGGCAGATGTGGGTCCTTGTCAGCCGCCTCAGCCTTGGTGGGGAGGATGTCTGTCCTTCCTCCAGCTCAGGTGGTGACGCCAGCCTGTGGCTCGACCTTAACTGTCAGCAGGTCAGCGCTGTACTTCACTGCTCCTCAGGGTATAACCCCCACCCCGGTCACTCAATGCATAACAAACCTTGTGGAGGAAGAGTAATGTTCATGCAGCTACCATTCTTCTGGAGACTCTAAAATACTGGAGATATCTGCCTATCTGTTAGAAACCCACAGGGGTGGACTGGCTCATTTTGGCCTCAGAGGAATTGCTGCTCCTGAACTAAGCTTTGCGTTTTTCTCTTGCCCACACTGAAGGACATCATAAGAAACATCCTTAGAAAAGTGATGTCTACTATGAGGGTGTTGAGGGCACTATAGTGTAGTGGTTAAGAGTGGCGACTCTGGAGCTAGCCTTCAGGGTTTGAGTCCCAAATCCACAACTTGCTAGCTGTGTGACTTTGGGCAGTTTACTTAACCTCTCTGTTCCTATTTCCTTATCCATTAAATGCAGATAATAACAGTGCTTATTACCTCATAGGGTTATTAGATGAGTGAGTATGTCTAAAGTTCTTAGAACAGTGTTTTGCATGTAAGTTAGTGCTAATTGTTAGCAATTATAATTACTTCTATTTTTTAGCATTCCTTTTATGAGGAGCCCTGGAAGAAATTTCTTGTCTTCATGCTCTGAATGGTTTTGCTTTTCCTGAGGAACTACTCCATTTTTATTTTATATACATTATGATTCATGTAACTGACCTCAGCCACCTCTTCAGTTGACTGTTAAAAGAAAGCTTATCTGGGCTTCCCTGGTGGTGCAGTGGTTGAGAGTCTGCCTGCCGATGCAGGGGACACGGGTTCGTGCCCCAGTCCGGGAAGATCCCACATGCCGTGGAGCGGCTGGGCCCGTGAGCCATGGCCGCTGAGCCTGCGCGTCCGGAGCCTGTGCTCCGCAACGGGAGAGGCCACAGCAGTGAGAGGCCCGCGTACCGCAAAAAATAAATAAATAAATAAATAAATAAATAAATAAAAGAAAGCTTATCTTTTAACAGTTTCACAATATGACCCGATTCTAACATACATATAGGGTCTTTCAAAATGATTTGTTTTATATTTCCCTTAAACTTTGCTTCTTACTTTCCTGTATGACTATTTTATCGCTGTCTGCTTCTTCTCATCTGCTTATTAAAATACTTTTAATCCTCTTCTGTGTGTTTTTATGTAAATCACTTTAAATCCTTTTGAAACAAAGCAGAGTATGAATTAATAAGTGAATAGAGAACAGTAGTGAAGAACAAACCTTCAAGGTGGCTCTGAAGCAAAATCACATGTCTTTTTTTAATGTTAATTTAATTCCGTAAAAATCTAATTTTATTAAGCTTGCTTTTTTTTCTTACATTTTGTTTTCACACAAGTTGTGTGCTTTGCTGTGCCAATGGCTACATCAGAGTTAAGACAGTTTTATATAATATTCACTTACAGCACGTGTAGTGCTTACGCTACATGTTACATCTTCATCCGTTACTAAAAATCACCTGGGCGACTTCTTTAAAAGTTAAACTATAGCTCATTAAAAATCAGATGTCTTTAGTGCAGACGTTAGCTTTATAGTAAGGCTGCAGCTGTGCAGTCTTGCACAGGAAGGTTCCTTTTATGTCTAAAAGGATGAATTAGCCCCGTGGCGGGTGGTACACTGGGAAAAGGGCTTATCTGGAAGTCATGGACTGACTGAATGTCCAGTGTGCCACACTTAAATTTTGATTAGTAATTCTGCCACAATGGAGGGGCAGGATTGAGTTGGGGTAGATTGTATTCTTGAGTATAGAGTTTTCTAAAGTCTTTCTTTTCTAATTAATGGAATGTCCAGGTTATTCAAGAAACACCCTTGAGTGCTTCTTTGTGCTGGGTGCTGGATGTACAGGAATGATGAGGAAGCTCAGGTCCCCACCGGGGGAAGCTGACACAGGACGCACAGGGCACGGTCAAGGACGTGAGGGCTCAGCTTGGCCCAGGCACCTTCCATGAGGAGGGGCAGCTTGAGCTGAGACAAAACACTTGTAAATCCCATTTTTCCTTGTCTGTGAAGGTTTGTGATGCACCCAGCCCTATTGACTAGGACTTGCCCTGTTTTACACATAGCCAGTAATAGAATCTTCTTCTCTTAATGTTTCTGTGGAGGAATTGAGGACCTGTGGGATTATGCTGTACCATGTTCTCTTTTTGCCAGTTGTAACTGACGTGAAAGAAGTCACTTAGTTATAACCTTGATGGCCGCTGGGATTTTGTCAGTAGCTTCATAGAGAGCACGTTGCTGCAAGTCACAAGGAGAGAAGACAAACTTTCTTGTCCTCAATTTCTTTTGTGACATGTTGGGATAATATATTGATAATTTTACGCATGGTAAATTGATAGTTAATCTTTTTTTCTTACCTCCTTAAAGCTTTGAAGTTTTTCATGGTTTTCCTATTTCAAGATGTGCTACACGTCG